AAGCAAGTTGACTGTCGTTCAGTTTTCTTATCCCTGCTATCCACAGATCCTTCCCCAGCCAGGCTTCTCCTAAGTTAGCAGTTCTGTGTCTGCCGATTTCCTTCATCTCATCACCCCCTGCTGAACACCCTGTTGGTGGTGTTAACATGGTCTACAATGAACCAGGCTGGCTTCCATCTCCAAAAGAAATAGTTTTGATGCTCGTCATTCAGAAATATGTTAATGAAATCAAAGTTTTAGAAAAAATATTTCCTCTGGATATCATAGATAAGATTACCATTTTTATTAATTTAATACTTCCAAGTGAAAGAGTATTTGTAAAAGATGTACTTGTCAAAAACAGCTTAATAAGCAAACTTAATTGTTTAGATATGCATAGTAGATATTAGGCATTCCTTAAAACACTAAAAACATAACTTTCCTACAAGATTTCTCAACTATCAGAAGTAACATTAATCACAGCCTCGTAGTGTTATAATTCATGAAACCATCATGTTTTTACATTTGGAAGTTAGTGTGGTTCAATTCTATTTAACAGAGAAGAGAACAGACAGATTTTCCACAGCAGTTAGCCAGTCTCACAATTTCTCTGAATCTAGTGAAAGTAAACACAGAGGCACACATTTGAAAATATACTCCTAAAACACTGTCTGCCTGATTCATTATGTTCCCTGTTGGTTTATTTGGAATATGCATGGGTAAAAAGAAGAATGGTTTGAATCATACATTTATAAAGCCACATAAACTTTTATCCTCCCTCAGACAAGACCAAACTCCCAGGACACATCTCTGAAAAGGGAGTAAGGCCAACTTTGCTTTCTAATAGAGCTGTACCAAATAACTCTCCTCTGCAATCATGCTGACAACAGACAATAAAGAAACTGTCATAGAATAACTTGTTTATATGGTATGCTGCCAGGAAACCACGCTTTGCAGTGGGATAGATGGCACCATCCTAAAATACTGGCACAAATGAGAATAGAAAATATGGGATTTATTGCTTCAAAATCAAACTAACAACGCAATACAGCAGTGCATTGGGGAAAAATATAAAATGCTCTGAGCCCACTAAATAACCATGAATGATGAGAAGGTGTCTGACTTGTAGACACATGAACTGCTATATCACATGCTTATGAAAATCCTTTGAAATTGGCTTCCTTTTCCATTTAGAAAAGGAAAGGGACAAAAGATAGGAGAGAAAAAAATCGCAAGGAGCACAATGACTTGTAGCACCGGTGATCTGTCTAATGTTGTTTTGTTGTTTTTTTTTTTGTGAGTTGGAGTCTCACTCTGTCACTCAGACTGGAGTGTAGTGGCCGCTCCAGGCCACTGCAGCCTCGACCTGCTGGGCTCTTCCGCCTCAGCCTTCCAAGTAGCTGGAACTACAGGTGTGCACTACCATGTCTGGTTAATTTTTTTTTTAATTGTAGAGATGAGGTCTCACCAAGTTACCCAGGCAGATCTCAAACCCAAGGGCTCAGGCAATCCACTCCCCTCGGCCTCCCAAAGCGCTGGATTACAGGCTGAGCTACTGAGCCCGGCTTAATGTTGTTTTCAATTGCATTTTTTATTATGCAAATCATGGAGCTACCTTTTGACACCAGACAACACCTGTAGAAAATGGGTTTTGATTTTGATTAATTTACAAAAAGAAGCAAAGTTTGACCTTGAAAATAGTATTCAATTAATGTAGAAGGTCAAAGATTAGAATGAATCCAACTGCATGAAGGAAAAGTGAAAAATATACTATTTCTTATTGTTGTCTATTTCATTTTAATTTAAAATCTCTTACACAGTAATATTGAATTTTTTGCTGTCCCCAAATTGAGAGAAAGGTCACATGTCAGTATCGCTCTCCTACCTCTCAGAATACATGCATATCACCACCCAGGACCTCTGAGGGGCAGGTAGTCATTACTGATCTCCAGTAACTGCCAACATTTTCAGATTACAACCCAACTGGTAAAAAGTCTAAGACAATGGGCCATCAGATAAGACAAGGGCCGAGGGACAATTCATGGACACTAAGGCTCTGTCTGTGGATTTATGTGAGTATGTGTGCATCTTCATTTTGAAAGGAGGGGAATGGTGTAGGAAGATTCGCAAAGCTTGACAGAGAAGAACTGACAGGGGTGGACATTTTCAAGAGCACTCCCCTCTTGGAGCGCTGGCCCTCACCTTCTCCTGGACAACTTTTCCTTCCCCAAGACTCCTGCCAGACCATGTGTCCTGTAGGAAACAACCTTGAGCCCCACTCTCAAGCCTCCCTGCCCTGACCTGAGTGAAGAGCCTTTTCCATGTGATTCCTGGCACACAGCACCAGTCACTCATACAGTCCTTATGGTCTATTGGGTCTGTTCACTTATCTGAACTCCTTATGCTCAACAGGCTGAAGAAAACAAAGTCCGTGGTGGCTTTGACTTTGTATGCCCGGTATATCCACTTAGTGAAAGTTTACTAAATGAAACAAGTAGGATTCATGTCTAAGGACATATTTTACACTGTAATATCGTCCTTTAAAAAATTTATTTGGTTTTTCCTGCAAGTTAATTCTGAAGGCAAATCACAAATGCCTTCCAAAGTAAGAACAATGAGGTGCCTTATAAGGAAAGAAGTGTGAATGCACATATTTTTCTTTTTCTCAAAGGAAAGCTAGTTGGTGTAGCAGAAAATAAGGTAGATTAGAAATCTCATGCCTAATACTGTTTCTTACAGGCTAACAGATCAGCTTGAGGTCACTTCTTCAGCTGAGAAATAGAGGTAATGCTATCTGTACTTGCTATTTTATAAAGTTGTTGCAAGGATCAAATGAATTAATGGGAATGAAAGCATTTTTGAAACTTTAAATTGGTACCTTAAGGGTATTAAGATTTTTTTAAAGCATAAGTGGGCTTTTCTTACATTGTTTTCTAATGCTTTGTCTTATACAGGATGAAAGTTGAAGAATACATTTTGATGGGAAGTTTGAGTTTGACGTTGTCACATCCACTCTTTGATTGTAGGTAGGATATTTTTGGCCTATAACCTTGATCTAGTCTAAGTATCAGTGTCATGACCATACCATCATCCAACATGAAACCTCAATGGGCTGTTAAATCAAATCTCTTTTGTGTTCCCTGGTAGGGGAGTCAAAATTCAGTCTGAAGGAAGTGTACACGTGCTTATTTCAAATACTTTAATACTGGCTGCAGTATGTTGACTTAGAAAAGCTCCTTGGTGAATCAGAGCACAAGTAAAACCAGCGGCAGGCTCCTAGTTGCATTCCTGCACTTGGAAGAATAAAATAGAAGGTAACTGGTTCTAACTGGTCTTCATTGTGATGTTAAACTAGACATGGCAGAAAACCTGTAATCAGCTATGACACTGTTGGCAAGACTATAGTCACATGGAGACTTTACTGCTCTGGAAATCAGATCACTTAATAGCATCTTATCACCCAGAATTATAAAGATTTGAAATGGTTTTTAAAGCCAATGAATCAATAGATCAATTTTTTAAAGACTTGATTGATATTCTCAATAGCGAGGAGGTAACTTAAAATCTCCTCTCCCTCACCTATGGACAGATATTTTCAGTTCAGTGTTGCCTGTAAACCTTTCCAGTGTCATTGCAAAGAACTTGCTACATAAAATTTCAAGATGGCACAACAGTGATCCCATCAACTTTCTGACACAAGCCACTTGAGGTGTGATAACTCATTAAATGAAGAAATACTTTCTCAAGTGTCTACATGCCAGGGCAGTAGCATAGCAGTCACAAATTGCTTTCTGTCCATCACAGAATATAGAATTTCACACTACCCTTCACACTAATCACAACTCTTCCCTTAAAAACAAGTTATTTGAACAATCCCAGATCCTTGGTAACCTTTCCTTCTGTGAAGAAGTGCAAAGAAACCATTCAAAATCATTGTATCACCCTGCCACCCTCAATGATATGAGTTTTGTGACTAGAATTTACAGCTCCATGCCAGCGAGAGAGAGAGAGAGACAGAGAGAGAGAGAGTGAGAGAGAGACTGGCATCAATTTTTATTTAATGAGCTCTAAATTCCTTCATTTCCCCAAAAGAACACTTGTCCTCTAAATATATTTTTTGAATTCCTGTCAAAATATTTTTAAAATGTCCTTTAAAGCATTGCTCAGTTAAAGTGCAACAATTCAAAACAATAGAACTAGTTGGCACATTATTGTGTCACCACACAATTTCTTACCTTTATATCCATGGATCCCTGCGGAAAAATCATGAACAGAGCTTGAAAATCCTTTGCTTCTATAGCATGTCACACAAGACCTACTTCTGAATAAATAAGCATTATGACATCTGTATACTTTCCATTCTCGTTGACCAGACATCACAGGCTTCCTTACCTCTTCTCTCACCATTCTGCAGTCAGTGACCCTCAACCCTTGCACACACATGTGTTTTCATATACATATATCACCCATATCACCAAGTCCCTAGGCCTTTGGCCGTGGTCTACTTATTCTCTGCCTCTTTTTCCCTTAATGGTTTTTCCTTCAACTGGGATGCACTTTCTTCTCTTCTTCTGCCCATTCAAATCCTTCCATTTCAAAGCTCATTGGCTCCAAGAAGCATGGGATTCTTGACCCACAAAATCCTTCACCCATCTGAACCTTACTCTGAATATTCTCATTAGTTGTGTACACAGTATGTGCTGCACTCATGGGACTTTTTTACTCCATTGCCTCAGAAGGATTCTGGGTTCGCTAGGTGGACATGTAATGCTTTCCAAGTAAGCTTAAGCTCCTCAAGACCTAGCTATCTATTTAAACTCCTCTGATTCCAGATTCCACCTGATACATGCTGCACTCAAAATAAACTCTGAAGATTTTTGAATAAATGATGGAGTTAATTCTCAAAATGGAATAGCTGTTAGTTGTTTGAGACATTCAACTGATTATCAGAGATATCTGAGGTACAAATTTTTCGAAATCTGGCTGTGTTTCATGTGTCATAGTGTGTGATTTATACTTACTGGAACAGAAACTTGAGGATTGTCCACGAGCTTTCCCAGCACAGCAAAGCCATCGATATCGATTGGGCCCCTCGGCTTTATAGGTAAGGATTCGATCAGATTGCAGTCAACAAAAAGAGTAGCACTGCTCCTTTCTACACCAATCATGATCTTATGCCACTGGGAATCAAACAAGGAGGGCAAACTCGAAAAGGCTGCAGTCTGGAGACTTCCATCCAGTCCCTTGTATGAAAATGCAATAGATTTCGTTTGGCCATTGAGCATCACGCCGACTTGCTCCTTCCCGGAGGCATCCTGAATCTGCCAGATGCCCCAGTTCTTTCTGAGAGTGCTTCCTGTCATCCGGAAGGTCGTCAGGAAGGAGTATTCTTCAGGCAGCCCACTGGGATAGAGATCCCTGAGTAGGAGTTCAACATAGTAAATATAATCTTGTCTATGCCATACATGTTACCACATTCCCTTCCCATGCTGTTTTAGATTCTAGGCCTGTGGAAAGGCTACACTGGAAGAACTCTGTACTATTTGTTCTATCATGAGTGTTCATAAAGATCTTCACAGAAGGTCAGTCATTCACATACATGAATGTTCCTGCTTAAAATATGCATTTACAAAACACCCACCCCCCAGCTAAGGAAGGTTCCCAGGGCTCCATAATCACCACAATATTTCTATTTATGTTGCCCAAAGAGCTACTTTTCAGCAACTTCATCTCAGCCAAAAGGCACACTCCTGCAAAGCTCCTGGCAAAATTTTCTTCACAAGTGAGAGAGGGGAGCCTTGGGAGTCGGAATCGGTGCTACTCGCTTATGAAACTATTTGACTAAAGCAGTTAGCAGCTTTTAAAAGTTATTTTTTGTTTTGTTTTGTTTTGTTTTTTTGAGTTGGAGTCTCACTCTGTCACCCAGACTGGAGGGCAGTTGCACGCTCCCGGCCACCGCAGCCTCGACCTGCTGGGCTCCGGCAATCCATCCGCTACAGCCTTCCAAGTAGCTGGAACTACAGGCGTGTGCTACCACGCCCGGCTAAATTTTTTGTAGAGATGAGGTCTCGCCAAGTTGCCCAGGTGGGTCTCGAACCCGCAGGCTCAGGCAATTCACTCACCTCGGCCTCCCAAAGCACAGGATTACAGGCTGAACAGGTTTTTTATTTTAATGATGTAAAGTGTTCAGATTATTTGTTATTTCCATAATTGCTCAGGTATTCCACTCCACAATGGTATCCCAGACCCATAAAAGCATTCTGAGGGTCAGCAGCTGCAGACTTCAGAAGCTGCCTCACACTGAGAACATTTGCCTTTTTCGGGAAGTTCAAGATATGATGCTGTAGTAGCAGCTTGACACTGGATGGGATGAGGAAAAGGTGACAAACTCTTCTCTACTCCAACCCAGTTCCCTAATCTGCCACCTCCCCTGTATCACTGCTAATCCTTTTATTGGTTTAAATGGCAGAATAAGACCGATTGTGTCCTTAGGGCACCTCCAGTCTACAAAGGGACGGGGTCTGAGTCACACCAGCTGCTTGGAGCTCCTGCTGAAGCCACTCTGCTAAAGCTGAGGATTGGTCATTAGAAATCTGGGCGTGTTCACTGCAAGCTCCATCTTTAAGGGTCTTGAAGGTTATTTCCTTCTACTTTCCTCCTTTTAAGCATAGAAAAATTCCTAAGCAAGGAAGAAATGCTAGGCAAACTAGATGCCAAGAGATGTTCTAAGTAATACAATTTGGTATTTCTGAGAATAGTGATGGGCCAGGACCCAGAGTCCCAAGAACCTCCCTTCACATCAAGCTCATGCTTTGTGGTCCTCTTTAATTTGCTGAGATTTCCTATCTCTACTTTGATTTTAACTATAAAACTTTATCTCTAATAATAGCATAAACAAACTTTCAGCTTCTTTTTTGGCAAATATTTTTTGCAAACGTCAATAAAAAGAATCAACTAGCTCAACAAATTTTATTGCTTTGTTAGCTTCCTAAAGATGACAATAAATGTGAAACTTTACCTGAGTACTCTTTTATTATACAAGTCTTCTTTTAACCTTTACTTTGTAATATGACTTTGGCTCGGATTTAGGGTGTTCCTTTATCAATATGTATTTTCATATGATCATTGGTGACATTTATTATTCTTATTGCAAAGTTTTCAAATCACTATAGTCTTTTATAACTTCAAAGTGTATGGAAGGTTTTAACATACACATTTTAAAATATTCTGTTTGGTTTTAACATACACATTTTAAAACATTTAGTTTGGAACTAAATATGTATATTTACATTTAGCTATATAGATAGATATAAACTGTTTACTGTTCTGTTTTCCCTGAATGGTACTGTCTACCACATCACTCCAGATATTTATTTTTTAAGTTTATGTTTGCCAATCGATTTGTCATATTTTTAACTTGACATTTTTCAAAATGACACTTATTTCAAAATAACCTCTAATGAAGAAACTAAGGATCACTAATGACAATATAATGTACTATCTATAATTGCAAAACTTTATGGAGGTTTATAGTCTCATTTAAGTTACCTAATATTTGGAGCTAGGCAATGTTTTCAGTATTACTCATTGGTGAAATTGGGGAAGTATTTATTTAAATTATAAACAGATTCTTTTGATTATTCTTTTAAATTAATTATCTGGATTTAATCAGATGCATAAAATTTTTATTTTCCCATTTTTGTCCAAAATAGCTATTGCTGAGGTGTGAGGTTTTTGTAAAAGAAAGGTAAATTCTAATACTTTGTCTGCTCTTCCTTTAAGCATCATTTTCTAGACTTCAAAAAAAAAGATCTGATCTATGTTACCTCTACACCTATTTATAACTATACCGAGCAAAACTATGAAATTTATTTTATTTTTTTTAAGTGAAAAAACAGGATTTATTGAGAGGACAGAAAAGCTCCCACAGTGGGAGAGGACCCAAAGGAATTGCCCCAAAACTGTGAAATTTAATCAGTCCTTTAAAAATATCTATTTTGTAGATTATCAGAGATTACTATATACACCTGTATGTAAACAAACTTGAAAACCTAAATGAAATGGAGGACCTTTTGACATCACACAACCTCTCCAGTTTGAAACAAGAAGAAATCAAAACCCTAAATACACCAATAACAACCCAGGAAATCAACTATGTCATAAGAAAACTACCTACCAAAAAAAAGCCCTGGACTAGATGCCTTTCCAGAGGAATTCTACAAAACATACAAAGAGGAGCTGATACCAATCCTACTGAAACTATTCTAGGTAGTCAAGAAAGATGGAACTCTCCCCAAATCATTTTATGAAGCTAATAACACATTGATACCCAAACCAGGTAAAGATCCAGCAAAGATAGAGAACTACAGGCCAATATCTTTAATGAACATAGATGCTAAAATTCTCAACAAGATTCCAGCACACCAGATCCAACAACACATCTCAAAAATCATCCACCATGACCAAATAGGCTTCATTCCCAGGATGCAGGACTGGTTCAACATCCACAAGACCATAAACGTAAAATTAAATACATCAACAGATGTAAGGACAAAAACCACATGATTGTATCATTAGACATGGAAAAAGTTTTTGATAAAATCCAGCACCACTTCTTTTTTTTTTTTTTTTTTTGAGTTGGAGTCTCACTCTGTCACCCAGACTGGAGTGCAGTGGCCGCTCCCGGCCACAGCAGCCTTGACCTACTGGGCTCCGGCGATCCTTCCACCTCAGCCTTCCAAGTAGCCGGAACTACAGGCGTGTGCTACCACGCCCAGCTGATTTTTTGATTTATTGTAGAGATGAGGTCTTGCTGCCCAGGCGGGTCTCGAACCCACGGGCTCAGACAATCCACTCACCTCAGCCTCCCAAAGGCGCGGGATTACAGGCTGAGCCACCAAGCCCGGCTCAGCACCACTTCTTGATAAAAACCCTCGAGCATCTAGGCATAGATGGAACATACCTCAAAACAGCAAGTGCCATCTCCGAGAAATCCACAGTCAACATACTGCTTAACAGACTGAAATTGGAATCATTTCCCCTGAAAACCAGACCAAGACAAGGATGCCCACTCTCACACCTCCTTTTCAACATAGTATTGGAAGTCCCAGCTAGAGCCTTCAGACAAGAGAAGGAAATCAGGGGTATCCAAATAGGAAAAGAGGAAATCAAGTTATCCCTCTTTATAGACGACATGATTCTATACCTCGAAAACCCAAGAGAATCTGTCAAAAACCTCCTTGCACTAGTAAAGGACTTTGGCAAAGTCTCAGAGTATAAAATAAATGTGTAAACATCAGTTGCCTTCCTATACACAACAATACACAAACAGAAAACCAATTAAAAAGCACAATCCCATTCACAATAGCCACACACACAAAAACAAAATACCTTGGCATCTTCTTAACCAGAGAAGTCAAAGACCTTTATAACAAAAACTACAAAACACTACTCAAAGAAATAAAAGATGACACAAACAAATGGAAAAATACTCCATCCTAATAGATTGGAAGAATCAACATTGTTAAGATGTCCGTCCTACCCAAGGCAATCTACAGATCCAACGCAATACCCATTAAATTACCAGCAACGTTCTTCTCAGACCTGGAAACAACGATATAGGAATTCATATGAAAACAACAAATAGCGAAAACAATCCTCAGCAAAAAAAAAGAAAAAAGCAGGAGGCATCACGCTCCTAGACTTTAAGTTGTATTATAAAGTTACAATAATCAAAACAGCCTGGTACTGAAATAAGAAGGCATATAGACCAATGGAACAAGAGAGATTCCAGAAGCAAAACTGCAATTTCTCAGCCAACTCATCTTCAACAAAGCCTCCACCACCAACCACTGGGGAGAGGAGAACCTATTCAGTAAATGGTACTGGGAAAACTGGCTGACCACATGCAAAGATTAAAACAAGACCCCTACCTATCACTATACACAAATATCAACTCTAAGTGGATCAAAGACCTAAATGTAAAACCTCAAACTATAAGAACCTTAGAAAATGCCGGAGACACCCTTATGGAAATTGGAACTGGCAACCAATTCCTGATCAAAACCCCAAGTGCCCATGCCTTAAGAGATAAGATAGACAAGTGGGACCTCATCAAACTGACAAGCTTCTTCAAAGTCAATGAAACCATTGAGAGAGCAGGGAGACAGCCCACAGACTGGGAAAAAATATTTGCCAACTGAATATCTGACAAAGACCTAACATCTAAGACCTACAAATAACTCAAATGTGCCAAAAAGAAAAAAACAAACAGCCCCATTACAAAGTGGATAAAAGATATGAATAGACACTTGTCAAAAAAAGACATACGAGCAGCCAACAGATACATGAAAATGTGCTCAGCCTCACTAGTCATCAAAGAAACACAAATTAAAACCACACTGAGATACCACCTAACTCCAATCAGGATGGCCATCATCAATAACTCAAAAACCTACAGATGCTAGAGAGGGTGCAGTGAAAAAGGAACACATCTACATTGTTGGTGGGAGTGTAAACTAGTACAGCTTCTGTGGAAAACAGTGTGGCAATTACTAAAAGATCTAAAAATCGACCTCCCATATGACCCTGCAATCCCCCTACTGGGAATATACCCTGAGGAACTCAAATCACTCTGTGAAAAAGATACGTGCACATGCATGTTTACTGCAGTATTATTTACAATGGCAAAAATATGGAACCAACCATGTTACCCATCAAAAGAGGACTTGATTAAAAACATGTATACATGATGGAATATTATGCAGCCATAATAAAGAAGGACAAAATTATGAACTTCGCAGCAACTTGGTTGGACTTAGAGGTTATAATACTGAGTGATCTATCACAGAAACAAGAAACATGTTCTCACCCTTAAGCAGACCTTGAACAACTATCATAATACTATAAGAAAGGGATTGGTAGTAGTGGAAAACTGCCA